CAAATCCAGTCTGAACCTCTGAAGAATAGGTGATCAGTCAGAGAGTAGGTCCCCTCCCCAGAGCAAAGTTTCAAAGGGCTGATAACATGAATAATTACATTAGCATAACCCCTCCTCCAGGAGAAGTTACATACAATCTCATAAAACAAACACTTGCATTTTAATACAATGGACCCCAGCAGTATTAAACTTAATTCAGTCAGGTTTACCCAAGATATTGCATATGTCACACCATCTACTCTATTATCTAATTTTTGTTCCCCATGGTGGTGCTTATAGACTGTGATCAAATAAGATGGGAATAAATTTGGGGCAGATTTTTAAAAAGTCAAAACCAATTGTTTCCACTTTATGCATGCAATTACCATGCACATGAGTTGGGATGAGGAGGTTTGGGGGCATGCTTGTATAGACAGATATCCATTTAACGATGTGTATGTAAATGCCCGTCAAAAAAATACCACCACAATTTTGGTTAATACAAACCTAATTGCATAAAAAAAAACAGTGAAACCTGTTTACAAAAGCCACTGAAGGACCTGTATAAGCTGGTGGTCAACTTGTCTAGGAGAAATAGGATTTTTAAAAACATGGCCCAAATAAACGTTAAAGATTATATCAAAATGGTTACTTGTCAAAGTATAGTGGATTGCATCTGACATGTACCATTGTCTAGCCTCTCCTTAGTGCAGGACTAACAACCCAGGGTCACTGTTTTTTGTAGTACTGTATTAAAAATAAGTCAGAGGTGCTGCCACCTACATAGACTTGACACACAAAGTAGCATGTTCAGAGGCAATTTACAGTGGTGTATATAATGATACAATGATGTAATGACCACACTGTATTTCTCACTAAACTGTTATTGAAAGAAATGCATCACAGTCCTGTGCAATACTGTTTTTCTACTATAAAGTATCCTGTGCACTCTTGAGCTCTTTGAATTTCAACAGGGGATTTTAGTAATCTTATTTCGCTGTTTTGTAATAGAGCAATATAGCTGCTTCACATCAACTAAGCTGACTATTTACTAAAAAAAATTATTAGTGTGGTATGACAGCCAATATTAATGGACAAACTTCTGCTGAAAACTGTCTCCATCTAAACCAATGTCTCCTTTCATAGCACAGTAGGTCAGACTCAATTCAGTCACTGGGAATTACTGGTTGAAATTCTATGCAGGAGTTCAGGCTAGAGGATCATAAAGGGTACTTTCCAGTACCAGGTTTACAATGGCATCATAGCACTGGGCCCACAGGCAGAAGGGAAAGTCAGCTCCTTCAAGGGGGCCATTACTCCATGCTTTTATGACTTCCCTGAAATACTTCCAATCACAGCCCAGAATTACTAGATAAGGTAGAGTGGGAACCAAACCTTCTATTACCATTTCTGTGCAATTTCCCACTCTTAGCTGTGTCTCCCTTGTGGGATACAGGCGTATATCCCTGTGTATGCATCAGAGATAGATGATGTCCCCATGAATGTCCTGAGGGCCTGATAGCTGTTCCCTAATCAACATTTGGCCGCAGTCTGAGTCTACTTGAGCTGGCAATTCTACCCTGTTAATTCATACTCAGGCTAACATCTTTACTGGGCCTCTTTTCTGAGCCCTAGTGCATGGGCAGCGTGTGAACCACCAGCGGGGGGAGGCTAGCCTCCATCCCTGTCCCTTCTGCACCCCTGCTGGAGACCAGAGGCCCTCCCCACCACAGAGGCCGGCCCCCCCACCCCAGGCTAATGCCCCCAGCCTCCCACCCCAGGCCCAGAGTAGGCGGCACAGTCCCAGCCCCTCCCACCCAATGCGGGGAGAGCATGCGGCATGGCCCAAGCCCGGGCCACCCCAGGAGACTGGAGCCACGCCAAGAGGAAACAGGGGGGACCACGCCTGGCTCTTTGGGGAGGCACTGTCTCCCCCAGCCCATGATACCCGCTGCCCATGCCTTAGTGTCAGATGTTTAAGCCTGCCCATATTTGCAATCCATGAAGGGGAAGTTGCAGTGGAAATGACCCCATTCTCCATATGCAAAACAGCTTCCCATTGAGGAACCCACCCTGTTCCCCTGCTTCCCAGGTGGCTGTTGTGTGTCTGAGGAGAGCTCATCTTTGGAACTGGGCTTTTCCCTGGCCATGTGAGGCCAGGTCTCTGTGGTCTTGCCATAGCTACTGGTCATCCACAGAGCTGAGCTAGGTATATGGTTTCCAAGAGGCCACTGTCCTCATCTGGCTCATAGGTCCATAGGCAGCAGTCCCCTGGGACGAGTGGCTTCAGGCCTCAGAGTTCTAAGGGCTGGGCCTGCTGCTGCCATATAATTCTCTGTCAGATTCATGTCGTCAACAAACATCTCTGATCTGTCGCAACACCCACTCCTGTCCCCCAGCCAGATAGATCTGCATAAACTGTTCCGGTATTATCTGCTCAGCCAGCTGTTCCCCAGTTCAATTTTTGGGTTGGAGCCATTGCCAACAATATTCCTTAAGGCTCTGGGCCACTGCTCAAGGTCTAGCATCTCTCCCAATGGATTTTGGCCATGATTGGGGTTGAAGATGACCCAGATCTTCCGCCTCACCTTTGAGTGGATCACCATTGCAGCATGGTGGCCGCCTGAGTACTGGGCTATTTTGTTGGCATCCTATCAGATTGGGCTTGGCTCAAGCTGTGTATCTGAGCCTCGATGCCATAGCTGCTCAAGGCTATGCATGGGTCTTCTACACCACAGCAAAAAAACACCGACTGTGCTTTCACCTCAGGCCTCTGGACCTCCAGTACCAAGCATTCTGATAAGATTCATAGCATAATCTTGTGTGGCCATGGCATAAAGGCCCTGGTATGCAGCTTGAGCTGGCCTGGTCAAGGAGGGTGCCAACAAAATAGCCCAGTGCTTGGCTAGTCAAGCTGTAGTAGTCACCTGCTCAAAGATGATGCTTCCGGGTCAGCTTCAGGCCTCAACTTTGTGAGTTTTATCTAGGGTGACCAGACAGCAAATGTGAAAAATTGGGACAGGGAGTGGGGGTAATAGGAGCCTATATAAGAAAAAGATCCAAAAATCAGGGCTGTCCCTATAAAATCGGGACATCTGGTCACGCTAGTTTTATCAGAAGAATTGGGCCTGGAGTGGCACTGAGAAGCCCTGCTGCAGGGTTTGTGTTTGCCCCCTGGGATGGTACAGAGGATTACCATTTGCTGGACCAGGCGCTGTTACTGTCCTTGCACTGCCAACTCCCAAATGAGCTGCTATTGTGGTCGTTGTGCTGCTTGCTGTTGTTGCTGGCTGGCTATTTGTTGGCACTGCTAGTTCTGCTGCTGCTGGGCCACATGTTGGTGGTGGTTGCGCACAGTGGTGCCAGTAGAAATCCTTTCTTGCCGGTAATGCACTCATGGGAGGAACACAAGGGGGTACACGTGACCTCCCCGCATAACCCTCCATGTGACTCCTTCCTGCCCCCCACGACATCCCCCTTTGTATATACAAACATCAACGTGCTTAACTACTCACTTTCCCCCCAAATATGTAAGTATTCAGTCTGTTTATATAGAATATGGGAGTTGGGTAAGGAGCCATTTCAGCATATGTAGGACTTATTAAAAGACAATTTTTAAGTAGAACTGTATCCTAAACTGCATTATGGTATTGTACCCAAACATTGCATTTCAATGGAGGATTCAACTTCCTTTATAGAAACAGACTCCTGAAACTCTTACCAGTCCACAAAAGTGGTCCATAGTCATGCAAATAGTCTCATTGTCTTCAATGGGATTGATCAAATGATTAAAGGTTTACAGGATTAGGTTCCCAGTTTGTAAATTGTTCTGGATGAAACTGACAATGCCTGAGCAGGGATAAAATGGAAGGTGCTCTCAGGGATTGGGAACTGGTTAAAAGATAGGAAACAAAAGGTAGGTATAAATGGTCAGTTTTCAGAATGGAGAGAGGTAAAGAGTGGTGTCCCCCAGGGGTCTGTTCTGGGACCAGTCCTATTCAACATATTCAAAAATGATCTGGAAAAAGGGGTAAACAGGGAGGTGGCAAGATTTTCAGATGATACAAAATTACTGAAGATAGTTAAGACCCAGGCAGACTGCAAAGAGCTACAAAAGGATCTCTCAGAACTGGGTGACTGGGCAACAAAATGGCAGATGAAATTTAATGTTGATAAATGCAAAGTAATGGACATTGGAAAGCATAATCCCAGCTATACATATAAAATGATGAGATCTAAATTAGCTGTTACCACTCAAGAAAGATCTTGGAATCATTGTGGATAGTTCTCTGAAAACATCCACTCAATGTGCAGCGGCAGTCAAACAAGCGAACAGAATGCTGGGAATAATTAAGAAAGGGATAGATAATAGGACAGAAAACATCACGTTGCCTCTATATAAATCCATGGTACGCCCACATCTTGAATACTATGTGCAGATGTGGTCTCCCCATCTCAAAAAAGAGATATTGGAATTGGAAAAGGTTAAGAAAAGGGCAACAAAAATTATTAATGGTTAGGTCACTAGGTCCCAGCTGTCTCCCTTCTTTGGGTCCCTCTCCGTCAATCACTCCAGCACTAGGATAGTCCATCTTTCAGTAGGTAGTGATGCAGACCTCAAGCTGGGTCATCAATCGCTCTCTTCCAAGGTAAGAGTTCAACAAAATATACACAGTCCAATGTTCCTCTAATGCTTTCTCAGGAGCCCAGACTATGGGCAACTTTGTTACTCCTCTCCCTTGCTTGAGCTAAACTAGGTGACAGCTCCCTATCACCCCAGTCTGTTAGCCAGCCAATCTCCTCAGAAGCTCTGCCAGCTTTTACTTTACCTTGCAGGTAACATTTTATCCACCCTAGTCCCCGAGCTCCCCTGGAAGAGCATTCCTCTGCAGTATCCCACCTCCTGTCACTGGACACTCACAGAAAATACCAAGTCTGCTGTCTCCAAGGAGACAGTATATGCACCATCCTGCTAGCTCAGTTGAGGATTCAGACTTTAGAATTACAACACTGAGAAGAACTAATAATAAAACCAAGAATAAGTTTATTAATAAAGAGCAGATTAAAGTGACACTAAGCGAAGATAACAGAAACAGACATGGTTACAAATGAAAAACAACAAAAAAGCACTTCTACAAGATTAAAACTTAACTATCAAAAGAATCTTATCTATAACTTTTCCTGTAGTCCTTACTAGTATTCAGTCATACCAGGATTCACATTTTCATGTTTTCCCTATACCCCACAAGAGGGTTCCTCCGTAAATAGATAATCATCTCTTTTCCCCCATCTTCTTATAGTCCAGTACATTCCTTTGCAATGTACTCTTTGAAGCACACACCTGACAAAGTTCCAGTCCCCTGTTGTGTGTTCTTCTGGGTGCAGATACCATGCGGTCTATGTTGGTACTCTGTTAATTTGCTTTTCCTGTTGCCTCACTACACAAAGATAGTCCCCATTGTCTTTGGCTAACCCTGCTTAATTTACCGTAGGAGACACGGAGATAACTACCTCCTGTCCTGTCTGGAGGAAAACCAAACAGAGAGAAAAACCGGTTACAGATCTTAAAGCATAATATCAGTAAGTATCCCTAATTCCTCTTATCGTGTTGATACATACATTTCACATTGATATTAATGACCTGTATATTAGAAGTAATGCTATGATTTAGTCATGGGTATTTTTAGTAAAAGTCACAGACAGGTCACGGGCAATAACCAAAAAGTCATGGCCAGTGACCTGTCCATGACTTTTACTAAAAATACTCCTAACTAAATCTTAGGTGCTGAGGGCAGGTGTGTGTGCTCCAGAGGACGCTGCTGCTGTGGCTCCTGGGGGTGGGGGGCAGCCCGAGGCACTGCCACTGCTCCTGGGCAGGGGGCATCCCAGGGCCCCGCCACCACCACTGCTGCTGCTCCAGGCGGAGAGAGGCCTGGGGCCCCGCTGCTGCCACCACTCGGGCCGGGAGGCGGTCCGTGGCCCACTGCACAGGATGGAAGCAGTGGAAAAAAGAACTGTATCTGTAAATACAGCTGAGCTAGAGTATAAAGATGAGAAAATGAAGATAAAGCTATTTTACCATCTTACCAAGGAAGAAAAGGATGAGTAAGGAGTGAGACACTGGCGCTAGGAATAATGCCCAAAACTCTGCCACAGCTGATAAAGGTCTCTGAGTACTGTGACCCCTAGACACATTGATACTGTAATCAGAGAGAGTGATTTTTACTCACAACCAGGAATCTGAAGAAGGAATAGTTACTTAAGTTATGGAGTTTAGAACTCTGGCACCCACATGTAACTTTGTAAACATTAAAGATTTCCTAATTAGAGACAGATGTTTGTGGAACTCATGATTACAGGTTACAGAGAGATTGAGAGAAACAGTTCTAAACCTAGAGAAGTGCTTGCAACTAGCAAGGACTGTCAAGGGAAAGGATCAAAACAATGACAGCCTCTCATGCAGAACAAGCACACAAACTCAAGTGAAAGGAAGCAAGACTGAGACAGACTTACTGAGAAAGCAGAAATCATGGTCCAGTGTGCATAATGTGGAAAGCAACATGAAAGGCAAAAAGAAAAATGCCCAGCCTTGGGCAATGGTAAAAGGGGCATGGGAGAGAGAACCACGCAATGCTGCACCTACCCAGGAAGAAAAGAGTAGCAGCAGCGATTGAGGATGTAGAGACTTCTAATGAAGAGGATGACTGTGGTGTGGCTTTAGCAGATCCAAAGACTCATAATATACACATGCTGCAGAAGAAGGCTGTCAGTCATTCAACTGTCATATTTTTAGCTATATTAGGTCTGTGACCAATTCAATGCTGCAATGTAAACCCCACAACACTGATAAACAACATTATTAGACTGGAGAAATGTGATCAGGTGATGGTTATGTGCCATCCTGAGGCCAGTGGGCAAATGCAGACTGCTGATAACAAACAAGAGATGTTATCAGTTGGAGTTTAGAGAAGTTGACACGCTGCTGAGTCGCAGACCAGTGCAAGCCTTGGATTTAGTCACAGTACAACAGCAGAATATCCTCACCAAAAGAGAAAAGGGAGAACAGTCCCCTGGACCCTGACCAGCATTTTTACAGAATACAAGTGCGTATTTCAAGGCTGCTGACACCAAAGGACAAACAGCAGTTAGAAACAGACGCTGCATGTGGCATGAGAGTGTGGTTAGGATACTTATCCAAGACAGGGGAGATCCTGGTTCACATTCCTCCTCTGCCTAATGAGGAGAATGGATTTGAACAGGGATTCCCCACATCTCAGGTGAGTACCCTACCCATTGTACTACGGGACACTTTGATGTGGGTCTCCCTCAATCTCTTTTGTTGAAGCCGATCACTTCAATTAAACAACTGAATAATTAAATATTAATTGGGCCATAGAGTGAGAATCACTCTAGAATCTTTTCAGAAAATGGCAGGCCCTTCTTGGAAGGGACATTGCCATTGGTAAACAATAGCTTGCTGCAAATGGGGGATTAGCTGGTGGATCTTTTCTGCTACACCAATAGCAAAACAATGGCCTTGTTCTTCTGTGACTTTATCGTTAACTTTCTTTTTGTGGCTTATTAGTTAAATTGTAATCGCTTTGGGGCAAATGATTTATGTGTGTACAGTCTCTAGTATAAAGGTGCTCCAATCCTGGTTCTATACAGTGTAATTTTGTCTCATAGAAGCGAGAGAGGAATGAGGCCTCTTGTGGGCCGTGTGTACACCTTCACCCTCATATAAGTATCCTGAGTCACATGGAGATTGTCCTCTCCTGAGACAGCTTTGCATTGGCACACAGTGGCTCTTTCTGGTGCTGCATCTTGAGGGGATAGTATTTCAAGATGTGGTGGTGTCATGCTGCAGTTTTGTTAGCCTGTCAGCTCCAGGAACTTTGCAATCATGTGGGCCCTTCAGCGGGACCCCCTTACCACTCAGCAGCTCTGCTGTCAGAAGCTTGCTTCACACAGCTCCTCCCGGCTGTAGATCTCAGAGCGCTTTCCTCTTTCCAGCTCTGAGGCAGAGAGAGGCGAAGAGGTGGAAGCTCAGGGAGTCACATACAGGGCTAGGAGCGACCAGAGCACAGGAATGGCTCTCTCACACACCAGTGCTTTGACCGCAGTTGGCACCACCCATTGGCACTGACTCCATGGGTGCTCTGGGGCTCAAGCACCCACTGAAAAACAAAAGGGGAGGGGTGTTCAACACCCGAAAGCCAGTCATAGATGGCGCATGACTCTTGTGATTAGGGAGGCACTGAGCGGGAGCGCTGGAAGCTCCCTAGAAAGGGGGGCACCAACACCCAGACCGTGGCTCCAAATCCCCCACTTCGCCCCACAGCCGTAGCCTCTGCTCAGCCTCCTCCCCCTAAAGCCCCACCCACGTTCCCACTCCGCCTCTTCTTGCCCATGCTCCATCTCTTCTGCCACGGTGCCCCCCCCTCCAATGGAAATCATGGACGGCGAGTTCTATGGGCCCTTGGTGCCTAGGCACCAGCACTGTATGAAGCTGGGTCTCTCCCTCGGCCTCGCCTTCTGCCTCCAGGCACCCCCCCACACACATGTCCCCGGGGCCATTTAAAACAGCCTGGGGCCCCCACTCACCACCGGCAGCGCAGTGGAGCTGAGCGGCTTCCTGTCTGTGGTCCCTGGGCGGAGTGGATCTGTGTCCTGCCCCAAGCACCCCTGCAGCCAATAGGAAGCTGCAGCGGCAGTGCCTGGGGTAGTAGTGCACGGAGACCCCCAGTAAGCACTGAAACCCCCCACACTCTCCCAGAGCCTGCACCGACACCCCTTTCCCACAGCTCCCCTCCCGCCCCCAAACTCCCTCCTAGAGCCTGCACCCCCACCCCTTCCTGCAACCCAATCTCCTACCACAGCCCAGGGCCTGCACCCCAGACCTCCCCCCCCCCACACCCAAGCGCCCTCCCAGAGCTTCAGGGAGGTGGGGGTAGAGTTTGGGGGTGGGCAGGCTCTGGGCGTTCTGGGCACCACTAAAATTTCTACAATCCTGCCGCCCCCGATGCCAATGACACCTATTCAATAACTAGAACATGAACGAAGTGTATACATATGCTTCCCCGTCCACCCCAAAACGGGCAGCGCCCTTCCTCCCCAAACACACACTCACACCTCTTCTAAAGCACCCACCAGGAGAAACGAAAGTCAGCGCCTGCAGCCCCAGACGCGCTGCTCAGCCGCTTGAGTCAATACACTACATTTCCCAGAGATCCGCGGGGCGGCGTGACGCATGCGCGCTGCTCTCGCCCTGTGCTTGGCCGCTGCCGCGGTTCCGTCCCCGCACCTGGCATCTGCGCTTGGCCCCAGGAGCTTACCGGGGCAGCATGTCGGCTGGGCTGAGGTTCGACGGGCGGGTGGTGCTGGTGACTGGCGCCGGGGGAGGTAAGCGGCTCGCGCGGGCCCTGTGGGCTTGCACTGCATGACGTTGCACTTGCCCGCTGGGCTCCGGGTGGGGCTGACCTGGCCAGGGGTCGCCTGTGCTGGTCGGTTCCCGGCGGGTTTGGAGAAAGAGTTGGGTGCAGGAATTGGGAGCTAAGGGGGGAATCCTACAGCTGAAAGGGCCCCGCTCAAATCCCCTCTGCTGTTTGGGAAAGAAAACTCTGCCTGCCAATAGCAAGGATGCAAAGGGGGGCGTGCGCGCGGTGGCGGCGGCCAGCAATTTAGTCTGTAAATCCGGTATTGTGGGTGTGGGATGTGCCTCAGCTGTGCAGAACTGGGGCAAAGGTTTTCCCTGAGGAGGGAGTTTGATTTCGCGGTGTCACGGTTGAAGCAACTCCCTATCCCTTCGAAGGAAAGAGATCAATCACTCTCATGCTTACAACAGGCGTCCTGAGTGGGTTTGCATCAACTTGCAAGATAATTGCATTTTGAAAAACTACTTTTCAAAACACAACTATATGGAATTAAAGCATGCGGGCTGCTTGAAATCTAGTCAGAATGTTCAGGTGCTGACAGAGACACAAACCAAGCTGCAGAGCTGAAGAGATTTTGTTCTGTCTTTCATAACTTATAATAATCTTAGGTAATACCCACTGAAGCCTTGATCTGCAATGAGCTCGGTACAGGTGTAGGAACGGTTTCCCCTGTCACCCACACCATGTAGGCCTCTTTGCTGGAGTGGGGATTTGGGCTGTTTAAGAGTTGCTTTACTGTAATAGCTATGCAAAGGCCAACACGTTGTCTATTCCAGTGTTTTAGCTTTGTAGGTAAAGCAGATTAATTTAAGCTGCTTTACTGATACTTGCAAGAATAGTTGGCAAAAAGTTTTCAAATGTTTTTTAAAGTTGACATTATGAAGCAGAGTAAGAACTTTAAAGCTACTCTGAATGTCTTTCAGCTCTCGCTCAGATTTTCCTTTGCTTCATGTTAGTTTGCTGTGCTGTTCTTTAAATCTTTCTTCTTCAGTGAAATCTGTCAAAAGTGACCACCTGAGCCAATAGAAAATAATACAAGATAAAAAAGCAAAAAGTTGCTTGGTATCAGTGGATCTTTAGCAAGTACAACTTGTACTAGAAGCCATAGGATTCTTGAAAGTGGTTTCACAGATAAGTATGGTTTCACTACAGCATTTTTAATTAAAATCAGTACTTAATATGTTTATCTAACTACAGATCTATCAAAATGCTTTTTTTTATTCTCAATAGGTGCTTACCTTGTTTTGATTATAGTACCATTGCTTTTACACAGTGACTTAGAAGTTGATCCTTTTATAAAGGTCAGAACTAGTGAGGGAGTCTTAACACATCTTGCAGACAGAAGAGTATTCCTTCCCATTCCTGTAGGTGTTCCCAATGAGGGGTTTCAGCAATTCTCAAGGAAGTGAAAGCAGGGTCATTTAAATGAGAAATTTGATTTTTCCAGTCATTACATATACTGTTACATTGTTTTCAAAGTTTGTATTTTACGTTTTTAAAATCGTCCCTTGAACTATTTGGGATATAAAAAAGGCTACATCCTATAAACAAAATGCAGATGTAAGAAAAATATTACATTATTCTCAATTATCCTATTTTCTTAAACTAATTTTATTTTGCCTCCCACCTTTTGTTAAGTTATTTTATTTTTTATGAAGTAAATTTCTTCATTTATTGTCCTTCAGTTATTTTTTCATGCAAAGACATCTTTAACATTATCAGGAGTCCAATTCTGGCTCAGCTGTAAAATAAATCCAAGATTTCTGCTTAGTCAATTAAGTGGTAGATGCAATCTCTAGAGAATGAGATTATAGAAGAGTTCTTTGGAAGGAGATGGACTGGGAGAAAATCTTTTATTATTACATTAGGTATTTATGTGGACACCACATAGAGGGCTTTGTGTGTAATGGTTTATAAACAGGAATCCCCATATCATAAGCACCCTGTCTGATCCATTGGGTGACACCATTCTCACTGGCCTGTGCTTTTGGATAGTTTAAACATCATGAAGAAAGGGGCACCTTAACTTTGCACAGCTCAAGGGGCTACATTACAATTTGCCAGTAGCCAAATATTGGAGCCATATTATTTTCTAATATGTAGGCATGGCACCAAAGAGATTACCAAATGAAAGCATCACATAATGGGACCTATAATCTCAACTTCAATTTCTAAATCCTTGGTTTGTTTACTAGATTTAGGATGATCAATATGTTTTCAAACAGCCTCTGTGAGCCAGTTTTAAGTGATCTCATGGGGGAACAAAGGCACTTTGTGTGCACTTTGAAAAATCCTCCTCCCCCTTACACTTTATTCAGTCGTTTGTTTAATTTGTTCATAACAAAATTACTTGTGTGGAAAAGAATCACAACTTCTGCACTTGATCAACTTTTGTTAACATTTTGACTGGTATGATTAGATAATATCATTGTCCATACAAAAAACTGTTGTATTCAACAGGCCTTAAGTCTAAGTAAAGACAAAGGTGAAAGACTAATGGAAGATAAAAGAACAGGAGTAGAAGTCAACTACTGCCCACTTCTTCGGATGCAGTAGCCCACGAAAGCTTATGCTCTAATAAATTTTAGTCTCTAAGGTGCCACAAGTACTCCTGTTCTTTTTGTGGATACAGACTAACACGGCTGCTACTCTGAAACCTAGTGGAAGGTATGAAACATTAAATGTTGCATTATGCTGTATATTAAGTCAGCTGCTTTGTGCTCCTTGCTCATGCAAATAAATGACTTGCTTCTTGTTTAGGTCCAAGTAATTGGCACTGATTTTATCAATATGGGTAAAAGGCACTATAAATAGTTTAAATAATTATGATTGGAGTTGAACTTGTGTTTGCATGACATGACAATGTTTCCTTTTCAGTAGACAAAACTAAATTAAACTAGGGGCTGTTTTATTAACTTAGAGTGTAGTTCATTAACTTGAAACAACTTCTTCCACTGCAAAACCAGAATACATTCCTGTATTTTGTAGCCTGCCCCATCAAGTGTCACAAATGCCTCCTTCACAAGCACAAAACTCTCTCCTGGAGCTTTAGCAACAAGCAGTCTCCATGATGACTCTTCTGGGTGCTGTACCACTAAGTGAGCATGGGGAATACTTCGTGTTTCCAATTGTGGATTTGGCCTTTAGTTTCTGACCTAATTTGCTTTCTTTTATGTTTCAGTTTTCAGAACATGCGACTGCTTTTGTGGCAACTTTAAAATGGAATTTTTAAATTAAATATGCAGGTGGTCTTTTTGGTCTGATTTCAGTTCAAGTGACCATTTCTCCACATGACTTTAACTAGTTTAAAGTGTATAGGTAGAAAATATACTGACACATTGAAACCTTTTTTGTTTTTTAAAATTAGGATTGGGTAGAGCATATGCTCTGGCTTTTGCTGAAAGAGGAGCTTCAGTAGTTGGTAAGTTGTTTCTTACTTATTTTGATCTCTTGCCAGTAACCTTTGCCTCTCTCTCTCTCTCTCTCTGTCTCTCTTCTTTTTTTTTTATTTAAATATATTGGGATTCAAACTTCATGACTTCTTTGCCAATGACCTTTGTTCTTTAATAAGTTATCCTCCTAACTCCTGAGATTCAAACTTTATTTCTGAGCTTCTGGTTTTGAAACAAGTAACAATCTTTGGCTGAGGGCTTCTCTTCACTGAAAGGCTATCTAGACATATAACTTAACCCTAACTTGACTTCCATCCACTTGCAAAAACCCTTAACTCAAGTGATATTTTACTGGTGATATTTTACTTGCGTGGCTGACTCAAAAGGGGGGGTTGGGCTAAAGCTCTCCTGAGCACAACTCCTCAGCTGTTAATCCAAGTGGGCAGTGTGGATGCCAGGGTGGATTTGATTTAAATCAAATTGATTTAAATCACTAGTCAGGAAGACTCTATTTAATCATGGATTTCTACATAAAAGTGCATTCTTATTGGTTGTTATAACCTTAATACATATTCTTCACAACTCAGAGAGAGATGTAGGTTTCATTTTTAGAAGGTACATTTTTAAAGTGATTTATTTTGTAAACTTTTCAGATTAGGTTTACAGCTATATCAGAAAATGAATGATTGTTTGGTTATTTCATTTACCAAAGGTAATTGAATCAGATATTTATGAAGTCATTGGGAGGTGAACTCTCTCCAATTCAACAGGTAAATCATTAATATTTGGAGAATTTTCTTGCCATGCTGTATTAGGAGGAGAACATCACCGGACAGACATTTAAATTTTTATTCAACTAAAACAACAACATTATGTATTCTGGATATTTTTTCTTCAACAGCAAACATAATATTTAAATAAAACAAGCATATGAACTTGAAAACATTCAAGTTTTTTAAAATCAGGTGTGTTTTTGTTTGTTTTTAACTAAAAGAGTTAAATGAAATATTAAAAAAAAAAAACCAAATAGACTGCGTCAGCCAGGTCAACATGAGAAACTTAAACATGGCTGGCAGGGAGCTGAGCGGCTGGAATCCCAGATCAGCAGCGAGGTGAGCAGGGCCGGCAGCCAGGAGCAGAGCCCTGGGCTGGCTGCTGGTACCCCAGGCCGGCAGCAGGCTGAGCAGGGCCGATGGCCGGGACCCCGGTTGGCAAGGGGCCCGTAGCCGGAACTCCAAACCGTCAGCGGGTTAAGTGAGGTAACAGTGGCTGACCTGCTGCCGGTCTGGGATTCCGCTGGCTCCTGCCAGCTGGGATCCCGGCCGCCAATCCCGCTCAGCCCGCTGCTGGCCCGGGGTTCCGTTCACCCAGGCTGGCAGCGGGCTGAACGGAGCAGGGGGCCGAGACCCCAGCTGGCAAGGGGCCGGCAGCCGGAATCCCAGACTGTTAGCAGGGATTCTGGGGTTCTGTCAGCTCCTGCCACCGGCCCCGCTCAGCCTGCTGCTGCCTCGGGGTTCCATTCACCCAAGCCGGCAGCAGGCTGAGCGGGGCCAGCGGACAGAACCCCAGAATGGTGGCGGGCTGAGCGGCTCAGCCCGCTGCTGATCTGGGGTTCCGTCCGCCAGCTCCTGCCAGCTGGGGTCCGGCCACCAGCCCTGCTCAGTCCGTTGCCGGCTGGGGGTTTCGTTTACCCAGGCCAGCAGCTGGCTGAGCAGGGCTGGCGGCCGGGACCCCGGCTGGCAGCAGTGTGCCAGTAAAAATAGTCTCGCATGCCGCAGGTTGCCGACCCCTGCTCTAGACCTTTTGTACACTGCTCAATTTCTCTTTCATACACTTTATCTAGCAATTTGTCTGTGACATCTGCTCTGTTGGGTGGACTGTATCCTGGTCTTAATGACTGAACCGTGTTAATGAAGTATAGGTTCTCAATCATATGGAAAGGAGAGTTTGTTGCATGAACAAACTGGGCAATTTTTTAATCAGTTACCTCTTTTTGTAATCTGCTGGTTCTTATCACAAACTTATCTATGGTTGTTTCTGGATGATGAAGATTTTTTTTCTTTTTGCTACAAGTGATATACTGTGGCTATGTGACATACATGATGTGACTGAAACACTATCATTGGTAGATAACTCTGAAACTATAGTAAATGATGGTGATCTTGAAGGTGGATAGTCTTCAGAATCCTGTATGTTGAGGATGGATTCTCCTAAACAAAATAAGTCAATGCAGTTATTTAATTATCACCATACTGCTCATTTAGTATTACTCATTGCATTCACTGACACTCAGTACTACTTTAAAGGTGAAATTGTAAAAGGAAGATCTGCCTATTTCAGCTATTTATATTTTATCACAACTGCATCTAAAATGATAGTACCATAGAGTAACAACTATATTTCTTGCTCAAACCTGAGAATTCAAGAATAGTCCAAAAGGAAGACAGGCAATCCTTAAGAAAGAAGTATGAAATAAAAAAGTTTACCAACCTGAAGATTTTTCATGTTCAGACATGTTCCTTTCATCATCCTCAATGCAGCTTCTTCCTGAGAAGAAACACTTCTCATGATGTTGTTTCATTTGGGCAACCAGGCCTTGCATTTCTTTGTTGCACTGTTTGCATTTTGCACACATGCCTGTCTTACCCACAGGTAGAAGAGCTTAATTAAAATATTCCCAAACTGGGTCTCTTTTACGGCCTGCTGCCATTATAGGTTTTCCCTTCTAGTGAGAGAATGGTATGGTAGATCTCAAATCAATGAAGGCTACACTCAGAAAGACCTCAAGACTTCTGGAATATGCTGCTCAAACAGTTTCACTTTTGTTTCCACTGCCTGTCCCTTCCTTCTCACATTTATCTCTAGACTTCTTCACCTTGTCCAGATCTATTCCGCCCCCAACAATCTTTTATTCATTGAACTTTTTGAAACTTTGCACTTTTAGAGAGAGGTAAAGGATTGACTCTGTGTACACAAATTTGCAGAGAGACAATAGGGTTGAGGTCTTTTATTTTTCACCCCTATATATTTATTTATTTTAAAACATTTTTGCTGTTAACAAGCATGTTATCTCTGGAGAGACAAATCCATAGTGTGAGAACTGCAAAACTAAGCCTCTCTGATGCTATCTTCTAGACTGGGGACTGAGTCCCATTGGGTAGATGGCAAGATTAACCTAAATAATCTATACAGAAGTTCCTGCAACCCCATAAAATTGGGTCCCTAATCCATGAACTATTCAAACTCATTTACAAAACTTTTCTTAAACATTACATGACTATTTTATCTCGTACTATAGAATTAGAATTTATAATCCCTATTCCGTGATGCAATATCTTTGAGCTATAATGTATCTTAATTAAAACTAGCTTTAGATAGGTTTTTTCCTCAAAAAGGATTTTATCAAAAAAATCTGTTTTAAATTAAAAAAAATCATTGATTTTTATCCACCCTGGGATACAGACTAGCATCAGTTGAGTGTTGCTAGTTCTCCAATGCCTTATCACAGTTCACTCACGCCCAAAAAGTACAGACAGGTTCTCCTACAATACACTGAGAAATAGTTCCTGTGACTCATCCAACTACAGTGCTTAGAACCATGGGACTTGCCCCCAGAACTCTTATTGCCATGCACAAGTGAGGGGGGGCATCAGTGTGAATACAACAACTTGAGTGTTGTTTCTCAATGTGGCTGCTCTCCATTGAGTTAGGCTGACTCAAGAGGAGGAACTCTAAACATAGATAAATCAAGTTAATTCTGCAGTGAAGACATACCTTTACGTTTCAACTGAAAGATGCCACCTCCAGCAGCACAGTACTGTCTGCCATCATGCTGGGATATTAATTCAGTACAGTCTTGGGAAGAGTGCTTCTTACTGTATTGGCAGCAAAACTTGATGTGGAAAGCAAGAGTTCCATGGAACAAAGATTTTCAATTTTTTTCATAGTGACGATGTGGACCACATCTCAGTAGAGTCTCATGGACATTTCCTCTTCCATTTGTGGTCACACACATCTCCCTCCCATTTATGGTCATATAACATCCATTGAGCAACTACAGGAATTGTTTAAATGGACAGGAAATGCTTAGTGCAATATAACATCTAGGAACCAGAAGGAAAGCCAGCATCATGTTGTTAAAGTTTCCAGGGTAGTTGCACCTCTGACCCTTTTGTGACCTTGAGAGCACTCTACTTACGCCTCAGGCCTCTAGATGGTAGTTTTCTTGGGGCAAAGTCATGCAACACTCTCCCTCTTGATGGAGAATTTAGGCAGCAATTGCTCCTGCAATTCACTGTGATCACCAGCAGGTCTGACTTTAGTTCACCAATTGTCCTGTTCTCCCAGGGGCAATGACAGGATTATCCATTGACTAGCCAGCCTTCATAAATTAAAGTATTGTTTATTCAGAACAACTTACAGAGAAAACATTTTAAAAACAATAAGTAGCTTACATGCTGATCTAGTTTACCAGACTGTTATTCATTTTCCACATGGAAACCCTGATAGGAACAGAATACTTCAAAAGGGGCAAGACCCATGTCAGGTTGGTCTCTTTATACAGTTCTTAGTTCTTTGAAGGGGAGGGATAGCTCAGTGGTTTGAGCATGGGCCTGCTAAACCCAGGATTGTGAGTTCAAGCCTTGAGGGGGCCACTTAGGGATCTGGGGCAAAATCAGTACTTGGTCCTGCTAGTGAAGGCAGGGGGCTGGACTCGATGACCTTTCAAGGTCCCTTCCAGATCTAGGAGATAGGATATCTCCAGTAATTATTTATTATTGATTGTTAGCTATTGCCAGCTAGTTCAAACCAGTATATATAATTTCCCTCATGGACCTGTTTACCTGCCCAGGTGACCTTTTGGGGATCACCCAGATCAGTAAGGGATTCTGTCATTGCCTGCCCTGTAACCTTGCAGTGTGTTAATGCTGTGCTGCTATTGCTCAGATGCCTGACACCCATAGCATGCCCCCAAGCACAAGACCTTCCACCAGCCACATTGCACAGCCCATGATATAGCAGTGACACA